AGAACCTGAGACAGCAATCCAGCCTGAAACTGTGGAAACAATGAGATGTTTAATTGCTCTACATGGTGCTACATCTGTGAGTGTAAAGTTACTAATAAGCAAATGTGTTTAAATTATTATAGGTTAAAAATGCAAGAAAAGATTAGCTAATGATGTCAAAGAGTAATAGAGCAAACTTACAGAAACATGAAAGAGCTAAAGCTTGTATCACGTTCATCATCGTGCACATGACTGCTGCCCTGCAATGTCCGCAGATGGTGTGTTCACCAGGAAGGGTGCTCTCAGTGTGATAAATGTGATAGAGGTGGGAGTTTTGTGTTGCTTTCAAAGTTAAATGCGTTTCGGTCATAGTCATGATAGTCTTAAAGCCCTTTAGTCTTAAAGGGCTTTTTGCAAGGTTATTTTTTGTCTTTACTTTAAAGAAGAAGAGTGATGTTTCATTTTTTCTCAGCTTTAAAAACATGCATTATTAAAAAGCTGGTTGTTGTTAAAATGCTGATAGTGTCAGGTTTGGCTGTGTGGCAGGCAAAGGGTAGACCCAAAAGAAGGGAGTTTTATTGCTGTAAAGTTATAAACCATAGCTAAACACAAAACTCTAAAACTAGAAACTAAGAACTGGAAACAAAAGCTAGAAACAAGGAGTAGCGATGGAAACAAGGGGAACAAGGAAACACACTGCAGCAGGAATGACACGACAATAAGCAGAGGAAAACAGGGAACACACCTGGAAATAATCAAACTAACAGGACAGTAGGAAGCAAAACTGAACACAGGATGAGAGCCTGTCAAAATAAAACAGGAACCACGCAGACCAAGACGCACAGGCTTGACACTTGGGGAAGAAACAGGCATGGGTGATAGACATGACGGGCTGTGGAGAACACAGACGACACGAAGACAACCAGAGCACAAAAGGGAACAGATTAAATGAAGAAGAAGCTAAGAACTAGAAAAACAAATGTTTAAACAAGGAAGAACAAGCAACCTAAACAAAATATCAAATGAGACCTAAGAAACATTTACTATCTGTCATGGGAACCATGAAAGAAAGTAAAAGTCAAAGAGTCCTTGAGTCAACACTTTTATGACAACAAAAGACATGCTGACAAAGTTGGGTTTTAACTTCCATTTGATTTACTACTTCATGGGCCATAGTACTTTATAGTACATAGTACTATTTTTTTTTTAAAAGAATACATCAAATAATAATCAAATAATGCAACCTAAAAAGGACAGAAGGTAACTGAAAAAACGGTTCTCCATCATGGACAACCAATCACACCCACTCCACTGTGGTCTGAAACTTACAACCCAAGACAGAAAATCCAGCCTGAAGCAGTAGAAACAACAAGATGATTAGTTTGCAGCCTGCTGCTGCACCCATCC